TCGTATTTAATTTTAAGTTTCCTTTTTGTACTTGATTATTTAGTCCTAAAGAGTTAAAACCGAGTCCCTGTGGATTCGACCCGACTTACCGCTTTTACAATTTTGGTTGTAAAATTGTGCGTTAGTTTGGACTTTATTATTTGCCGGTCTCGACACCCGTCACGGACTGGGCCGCCTTTTTGGATGAAAACCATAACCAGTTCTTAATTAGTCCCGGATCGATTTGATCATCTCTACTTGAAGCAGGGTCAGGGCAGAGTCGGAAATAACATTATCCGTCTTTAATCGAGCTCAATTACTTTTATTTAATATGTATTAATTAAAATCTCTTTTTCGGAAAAAAAAAAAAAAAGGAAAAAGGTTGACCAACGGATCATAAGCCCCGTTCAGTTGGTCTTAACTTGACCATGTGAATGACTGTGTATATCGGCCAAACTCACTTCAGACATTATAGAACCCATTAGGCTCCACACCGGTCTCAGCCCGTCGAACCCCGAAAGGTCCAACCGGATTCAATCGTTCTGAAGTTTAACCCGTTTCCGAGCCCGCATCTCTGCGGCTAATTAGCCCGGGGACTTTCCTGAGTCCGAATCCATTTACATGGACCCATAACCCAATCACATCGTCCGTTGGTCGACATTACCTTCGTAACCCAGGACTTATATTCACAACTATGGTCTTATTTCTTGACGATGTGGGATTGAAAATCGAGTTCGCTCCCGATTGATTGGCGTGGTGCCGGAGTTTGATCTCCGTGATTTAGGTACAAGATTTTTGGAAAATTTTGTGATTTTCCGTCGTTTATCTGCCGAATTTTGGGAAACTTGTTGATTCGAAAGCGGCTTTGTTTGAATTTGATAAAAATGAATTCAACAATCAGATGCTATTTCTAGAAGTCGAGTCTCCTATCTCTATGTATAAGACATAGCACAGATTGACCGGATGCCGATCTATTTATGAATTCCTTCCCCTTTCCCCCCTTAAATGGACTAATAAATTCTGAATTGGTCAAAGTAGAAAAATTCATCCAGGTTTAGCGCTGTATATAGTATATATTTTTTATCATAGGATTATGACTTGCTTTTTTTGGTTAAATCTTCTTTTGGGTGTGGTGTTTCTCTTTGGTTTAATGGATGAATTTATGTGTGATGCTGTACCATTTTGATATCGCCCAGTAATTTGTTCTGTAACAGTTGAGCTTATTTTGCCTGGTAAATTTCTTGTTTTTGAGACAATGTAGTTGGATCAAAACTTTGCACTTTGCACTGTGGAATAATCAAATCATTTGGGAATACATAGTAGATATTGATAAATTGCCTTCTGACTCTTGTATGAGCTATGCATGTTTTTTGTTAGTGTATGGTATATGATATATATATATATATATATATATATATATATATATGCCTGTTGTCATGAAAACAAGTAAGTAATCTCTGTTCATTTTTATGTTAGCTCTGCTACCCTACTTAGCAGTTGGAGCAGTAATGTGCTATTTTGTCTAGATTGTTCCAGATCACCTCCATCGCTTACTTAGACTTAGAGCAGCAAAATGGGTAATAGGGAGGCTTTCGTCTCAGCTTCTTTCGTGAACCAAGCACAGGAAATAGGTATTGGTATGTATCCTGATTTTGTTCTTTCACTATCAGGCTAGTAAAGGAAGTCGGGATTTTTGTTCACATCACTGAACAGGGGGATTTTTATTCCTTCTTAGATTTGAATTTTAGACCTCCAAACACTTTTGACCTTTGGAGCCCAAGCTCAAACCAATCAGACACCAAACTTGTGCTTATTCTAATGATGATTTTGTGAACTGTACATTCTGTTTTTGTTTTAAACTACTACAAATCGAACAACTTTGATGTAAAATTTTTAATTTTGTAGCTGTCGGAAGTGTTACAATTTTGTTGATTTTTCAAGCAACTATTTGGGTCTTAATACAATCATGGTGAAATTGTATGTGGGATCTTTGGCCTAGAAACCTTGGATGTTTGAAGGCTAATGTATTCCCATGTGTGCAGGCAGCACTTCAATTAATGATACAAATGTAGAGCCTACAACACAAAGGTAGTGTTTGGTACGCAGATTGGACGGGACATGACTAATTGTCTGTCCTATGTTTGGTACGACTAAGACAACACAAGACAAAACTTTAGTCATGAAAATGTCGTTGAGGAGAGCAGCTACGGAAAGGTGTATAAAGGAGAACTTTTACACTCGAAAGGGCTTATCACAAATGGGATGAATTAGGTTTTCTCCTAAAATGAAATAACAAGGGTAATATTGGATTTTTAACTTTAGGTGGAACAAGAAATATCAAGATTTGTCCCATGAAATTTAAAAATAGTCCCCCACCTTGTCTCATGTTTTTTTTTGTCCATGGCATGCCAAACATGAGGCTATTTTTTTTTGTCCCGTCCCGTCCCATGTAATTTGCATATCAAATGCACCCAAAAAGTGTTTTGGTTGTTTGGTTTGCTCTTCATTAAGTCATGTATAGATAAAACTGTCTGTGTGTATAGATTGGTAAGTTTTTGTTTGGAAGGTTTTTCATTCAGAGTAGGAAGCATGTTTTTTAAGTGGATAGGACAAGTTCGGAAAAAAGTTAGCTTTCATAAAGCTCTCCCTAGAAACTTACTGAATAAGCCAATTTGTATAACATAAGCAACCATAAAACAATCGGTGACTGAATAAACAAGTTAGCTTTATTGCAGATGAGACGGAATAGGACTGGATTAGATCGGATGGGAGAAAGTGAGGTAGACGGTGATTTTTTTTTTGCAAAATTTAGGGTTTTAATCTGACTTTAAGTAGTTTAATAAGTTAAAATCTTGTCGGATCTTCCTATTTTTGTTGCACCGGTTTTGAAGTTCGTCTAACTCAACCTTGTCTGTCGCACTAAACGTTGAACTATACGTTTTAACATGTCCTGACTCGTGTACCGAACACAATAACAATGCGTAGATTTAGTTCAAAATGAAGAAGACATTGGTATCTTCGGCTTTATTTGATTTTCTTTATGTTCTTTTTTTACTTCTCGTGAAATAATAATTTGAAGATATTGAAGTGGCCACCCTTCTTTTGGTATAGTTTTTGTTTCGGTTAGTGGTCGTTTACCAAACGTTTATCCGGATAAGTGTTTATCAAGTCATATTATTTTACCGGATGAATATGGCAATGACCAAAAATCTCACCTGGTAAAAGCGAAGGCAAGGCTCGAAAGTCTTACCCGGTAAGTGACGGCGACGACTCTTACCAAGGTTGAGAATTAACACATATTTCATCTTGTTTTATTCCATAAATCAGTTAAATAAAAGATATTTTGAACTCGGATTTGTTAGCTCATCCAGAGGATTTCAATTACGTGGAGCATTGCACTAACGACGAAGTTAAAGGTTGGGCTTGAACCCTTGATCTTCAGGAAGGTTGGGCTTGGGCTCTAATGATCCTTTTGGTTAGTTATTGTTGGATTAGTTTTCGATAAGTATAGGACCAGGGGTGTTTATATATGAGTTAGGTTGATCGGGATGAAGACATTTGAACAATCCAACCCAATGCTTGCGGTTTGAAAAATCTTAACCAACCCAACCTAAACCAAAGTGTAACACAACCCAACCCAAACCGTACGGGTTGATCGGGTTGATACTTTGATATATTAAAATATTATTCAAACATTGAATATGTTAAATCTCTACCCACAATTTCTTTTTCATCATTAACCATTTGATACAACTTATCCATATTTCTTACGTATAYCACATTCAATTAATTTTCTCAATTTACATATATATGTTCACAATTATTGAACATACAAGTTATTTTACAACTCGATTAGACAGTTTGAAAATTTTACAACTCGATTAGACATGGAGTTGCTTCAGATTAAGTTATTTTGCGTTGAGTTGGGTCTAGAATAGAACAAGGGCAATTGCACCAACTTTGCTTTCATTCTTTTGGTAACCAAAGCACCTTTGACCTAGCGGTATGTGAGTTTTTGGCTTCCTATAAGATCAAGGGTTTAAACATCATCAAAGATAATTTATTTGTTCCATTTTTCGTATATAAATATTAATATACTTCAAAAAAAAAAAAACTTCAACGTTCTGTTGATGTGGCATAAATACGAACAAAAGCTGAGACGACAAAGCTTATTTTACAGAAACCGTAGAGCATTGCATTGGGGCACTCCTTCAGAGGAGGCATCGAACATCAGGGAATCTAAAAGACACTTTAAACATGGATTTTGTAACCGTAATGGATCTCTTTTACCTCAACCGACGTAACGCATCTCTTTCCAAAATAAGACATATTTATGAGCTCACAAATAACACAAAATCTCTTCTATTCGTCAAATTGTGAACGATAACGAATCTAAAAATGACGAGACCAGGTGGACAATCGACGTTAGGTTGGTTTCAACGAAAGAGACAACAGGAGGATTAATGTAAGACAGAGTATCTGGTAGCGTGTGTTGCATGTGACGAACGAATGTGCAAAAATGGAAAAAAAGGGTCGTTCAAACTAAAAGTAGCCGTTAGAAAGTACTGGAATCAAGCATTTATGGGGTGTCGAATAATAATATCGTATCTAAGTAGATTTCCTTCTTAAAGCAACGTAAATAAACCAATTATGATACTTTCGCACAACTATCACGTTTCACATTTGACTTTTTGCAACGTTATTGTAAAATTACTAAAATACCCAAATGTAGAATTATAGTAATTGAAATGAAATAAACATCGGTTTGAAACTAAACCAATTCAATAAATTATTATATCAGATGTTACCAAACTTGACATATGTAACACCAATTATTATTGCAAACTAAAACAAAAATAAGGTAGTTTTTTTATTAACCTGAATATCCAACCCGCTATGCAAGCCGACTAATCCCAGGGCGACCACATGCTTTGCAGATAGCCCGGAGTCACCGCATTTGAACCTCCGTGGCTACAAGGGGATTTTTATTCCTCTTTTGATTTGAACCTGAGACCTCCATGTACTTTTGATCTTTGGAGTCAAGTTCAAACCAATCAGACACCACCCTTGTGGTTAATGTAGTTTTTTTATTTACCCTTTTAAGCTTTTGAACCAGATGAAACTTAATTATTTGAAAACCGTATATATTGTGATTAAGTGTGAGAATTAATATCGTAAGATATTGTTTCATATGATTTTTTCCCATCTAAGTAACATATATTTGTTTTATATGTATTCGGTTCACGACATGAAACTTTCTAGTTGTATATATTGTTCACAAACACATAAAAAATGTTCACACCATACACATAAGTATACGTAAAACAAATATATGTTAATCAACATACTAGATCGAAATCATAGATAAAAAAACAATACAAAATAACACATGATACATAGATTATCAATATTATCACAATTTTATCTTAAATTTATAAATTTATTTTCTTAAAATGTAATTAAAACAATCACTTAAAAATGATTTTTGGACAAATATAATTCATTTTTCATAAGCAAGGACAAAGGTGACGTCATGGTTGCCATCTGTTGTGCCACGTAGGCACGGAGCACCAGTGCTGTTCGGGCTCTCCAAAGCCCAATCCTTCCGCCATTTCCAATTTGCTCACATACAACACTCGTGAGAAGTGTGATAGGGTTCAGATATCAACGTAACGGTTAAAGTTGCTGAATTATCCTCATTTTCTTTGCGTCCGCTCCATCTCTCGAAGGTTCCTCTGAATCTTCAAACCCTAGTTTCTGATTTGAAGCCGGAATTGCAGTCTTCAGGTTCGATTTTTCTTCAAATTTTAGCTTAATTTTACTGTTCGCTTCCGATTGATTGGCGTGGTGCTGGAGTTTGATCTCCGTGATTTAGGTATAAGATTTTGTGATCGATTTGTGTCTCTGAAGAATGTTGGAAAATTTTGTGATTTTCCATCGTTTATCTGCCGAATTTTGGGAAACTTGTTGATTCGAAAGAGTTCGCAGCGGCTTTGTTTGAATTTGATAAAAATGAATTCAACAATCAGATGCTATTTCTAGAAGTCGAGTCTCCTATCTCTATGTATAAGACATAGCACAAATTGACTGGATGCCGATCTATTTATGAATTCTTTCCCGTTTCCCCCCTTAAATGGACTAATAAATTCTGAATTGGTCAAAGTAGAAAAATTCATCCAGGTTTAGCGCTGTATATAGTATATTTTTTTCATCATAGGTTTATGACTTGCTTTTTTTGGTTAAATCTTCATTTGGGTGTGGTATTTTACTTGTTTCTCTTTGGTTTAATGGATGAATTTATGTGTGATGCTACTCAATTCTGTACCATTTTGATATCGCCCAAATACATAGTAATTTGTTCTGTAATAGTTGAGCTTATTTTGCCTGGTAAATTTCTTCTTTTTGAGACAATGTAGTTGGATGGTAGACTCTTTATATCCATCAAAACTTTGCACTTTGCACTGTGGAATAATCATTTGGGATTTGGGATCTGCACGAACTGGCTAGGCTTCCGTTGGAAAAGCACGTAGTAGATATTGATAAATTGCCTTCTGAATCTTGTATGAGCTATGCATGTTTTTTGTTAGTGTAGATTGTGTAGAACATGTATGGTATATCTTTGGAGTTATGATATGCCTGTTGTAATGTGTTGTCATGAAAAGAAGTAATCTCTATTCATGTTTTATGTTAGTTTGTCAGAATCTGCTACCCTACTTAGCAGTTGGAGCAGTAATGTGCTATTTTGTCTAGTCCAACTTCATCGATTCCTCCTAAATAAAGACATTAGGAAACATTGGATTTTCTGTTTCATATTGGGAAAGCAGTTTAGATAGGTGACAACTAGGCTTTTGTTTTCACATGGTAGCATGACAAAGAACTTTAGGACATTCTGAAGGTTATATTATTTATAGAAAAGAAATGTAGCCACTTATAAGTGTCAAAACTCCTGATGTTAATTTCTGGTCTTGTCTACCCAAAGCCTATGTTGCAAAATGATCGTCACCTTCAGCATCCTCATAGATATTATTCATTTAATGTTCATGATATTACTAGAGATGGCACGAGGATAGGCTTACGAAGAGGCAACCAATCAAGAATACATGTACCTGGTGTCACTAATATTACAATTATAAATAGAGCACAATAAATGACATTTGACTTATTATGGGAGCAGAAAAATTAATTATTAAAGACATAGTACTAACAATCACATTCTTTATGCATGACCAACCATTTCTACTAATTGCAATTTATAATTACCAATGAACTTCTTTATTATAGCCAAAAGTATTTCATTTCGTTTGATCTTCTGACATAGCCCATGATAATTCAAATTAGTTAGATGAAACAATACTCCTAAAAGTTACTGAATGACATAACATGCGCTTAAACATCAAGCAAGTTCCTTTCATGCATCTTGTAGGTCATAAGATCCTCCAACCAATGCAATTTTTTTCTTCTTTAACATTTCAAGCAACGGCACCTTCTTTGTGGAGGTTTGCTCTTAAGCCAAAAGGTCATACTCTAGATTGATTATTGATGATGTGATCTCATGTCTCTTCTTTCTCCATCCCTGCTACTCCATCTCTCTCTACTCAATCATCACATATAGACTTGCATCTCATGACCTTATTGTAGTACACACCTGAATCTCATAATGTATTTTGCTTCTACAACCTCCTCGCTAAAACAAATAAATAATGTACCATCGCACAATATCAGATAATAAGGTTTACGAAGCAAGTTTTCGGAACTTAAGCATTACATGTACTCCAAATAATCTGAAGTATAAGAACATTGACCTTTTTAGTTCCGTTTTGTTTTAAATTGCAAAAGAATTTCAAAACTCAAGTGTTTTCCAGCTTGGTTGAGGAAAAAACAATTATCAACCTATCTATGCCATTGTCACTTTTAAGATAAGAACACCTCAATTATGTAAAAGAAATTATATTTACATAATCAAATATAGTTTCCTAGATATAATGAACAGATTAAAACCTTTATAGGAATGGTGATATTTGTTTTTGCAGGTTGCTAATAGAGATGCTTAATAAGTAAATTTTATTTAATTATTTAAACTCGTGCGCGTTCTCTTTATAGATATAAATATTATATATATACATATATAAATATATAGGAGGAAAATTTTGGCTGCATAAGCTTGCTTACATAGAGCTTTACAGGTAGGAACTACTCTTTTCATGCACATGTACCTTGACATGTCTATAAGAATCCTTTTACTAGATATGTGCAATAAAACATCAGTCAGTAATATTTTAGTTCAAGAGTTTATATTTAGAAATAATGATTACCGATAACATTCGTGATACTAAATGAAGTGCATGTTGGAGTTACGCAGCAATTTACACTAGTATAGTTAAGGGTTGCTTTGCAAAGGATCGCAGCTACGCCATCTATTATTTTGAAGGGTCATAAGTTAAAACAGACAGGAGGCACCAGCATGAGGTTGGTGTAGATGACATGTAAATGGTGAGGCAGAAGTGTGGCTACACAAGATGCGTAGATATCTAACAAGAAGGTCGTAATGGAACCAGTTAGAGAATAATCTGAAAACGATGCCTAAAAAAGTGTGGGCGTACTAATCAATTGTGGCTCTTGGTAGTTCTCTTCCAATTTGTCTGTGCTTTTGCATGGTACTTCATAAAAAGTATGATGTCCATTGTTTTTCATAATGTCACTTTTCCAACAAAATAGTTTTGTGGTACTCCGCACAGCAATACGGAATAGCTAATATTCCTTAATGATTACTTGGCTTTAGGACTCCCGCAAACAGACTCACTGATTCCAACCACTTCCATCTGCCATTATATTATATTTGCCAGTCTTGTCATAATTGATTATTTCCTATAAGCCCATCTTTTCCATGTTCAAGATTTCTTTATAGGGTGCATCTTTCTCAACAAGATTAATGCAGATCTTTTGCATGGCATGTAATTTGTTGCCCACTGTGTAATGCTTCTTTGATTATTGCTTCATGAGTTTCTTCTGAAAATACCTTTTGGATTGTCGTCAACAAGAGATGCTTACAATTTAGCATCTTCATAATTTCTTGGTGTTCACAAAACGGATCATGACACTATCCCTGTTTTCTCATACTTATTTCTGTTCATCCTGACTAATCTGGTCAACATATAAAATTTGCTTGAGCTATGCTATCTATTGGATCCTTTGACCCTATCATATCTCTTCTACTTATCCAAAATTCATGTCCTACAGCTGGCGTCTTAATTTCACAGAATATCAAGTTTTGAGTTTTTTGTAATTGAAAGGGGTATCCTTGAAATGAATTCTATTAATAACGTCCTAAGTGTTGCCTCACCACTTTTTGCCTCTGGTTGTTGTCTTCAACCTTCTATGTCAAACCTTATCATTGATACAGCAATACTTTGTTTAATAGTTCTGACTTTATGTTCTCTGTGTATCTTGCAGCATATGTTAGGGTTTCTTGTGTACATTTATGGTAGTAGTCAACTAAGTTGTTTTCTTCTGGACGATTTTAGCATTAAATTGTTAAGCAGGCTTATTTGGTGTTTATCTCATTTTCTTTCATGCTGTGCCCTTTAATGAAATGGATCTTTTTTCTCTTAATTTATAATCTGTGTTTATTAGATTGCCGGCAAGAAGCTATCTGTTTTTAGTTATATTTACCCTGCAATATCTAACTTGGAGTAAAGCACATTTCTTTTCCAATATAGACAACTACAGCCTGTTGGAAAATACTCCCTCCGTACCAAATTAAATGTCCACAATGAAAATGGCACAGAATTGTAGGAATTTGCAATTATTATACTTTTTAAATAACCAAATGACACTTTTACCTTTGATAATAGAGAGAGAAACTTTCTCCATCTCATAATTAAGGATAGAATGGGAAATTGGAAAGTTACTTTTGAAAGTGGACACTTATTGGGACGAATTAAAATAGTAATGTAGACGCTTAATTAGGGACACGGGGAGTAATACAGTTTTCTGGTGTTTCCATTTTTGAAAGTCCTAGAAATACACTGTGTTTGGCATTTTGTCCTTGTTTGTTTTTTTAAAGCATATTAAAATCCTCACATTTATTAGATTGTGTCAGATCTCGAAGCCATTGATCAACTCTTTCATGCTCTGAATTTGGAGTAGTCATAATATTACTACCAAATTTCTTTAATGATAGCAAGCTCCCCTTGGATTTTCCAAATGTGTATTTATTTATTTATTCTTTCTCAAAAGCGCATCACTTCCCTTCCATTTACCTGCTTATGTGGTTGTCACTCACTGTATTTGGATATATAATTGTTTAACTTAGGCTACAGGATTGGTTCCTCATCCAAATACTGTAATTCATATTCACTTACATATTTGATTTTTGATTTTGGTGTTATTGCAGAGGGTGTCATTTTCATGGTTAGATGGTCATTCTGCATTCGGCTTTGATCATGTGTCCTTTTTGATGCGCACACATAACCGTGGAGATTTTTATTTCTGTTAAAAAGAGGGACTCTGAATTTTTTTTTCTCAGGGAGGTAGTTTTCACCTCTGCTTCCTGACATTTATCGGATAGGGGATTCAAGGGAGATACTTCAAATGAAGGGGAACTGCAATAAGTACTTGAAGAAGCTGTTCAGCCGAGGTATTGAAGATTTGCATGATGATGATTTTGAGGGTTCAAGGGACGAGGATTGCATTTTTAGAGAGGTGTTCTTTGGGCATGAAAGGGGTAGAAGTAGCAAAAAGTGCCTTGTAACTGGAGCAATCAATTTTGAAAATGAAAATGAGAAGCCTAAGGATGTATCATTTGGTTCTAATAGTGACAATTCAGTCTTGACAAATCACATGGATTTTCAGAATATGAAAGAGGATGTTGGACCGGGTAGCCTCTCTGAAGAGTTTACCATATTGGCGAGGAATGACCCTGATGTTGAAGTTAAGAGAAGGAAGGTGTTGCTTGAAGAACATTTGGATGCTAAACCTTATTTAGAAAAGGTTGTTAATTCTTCAATTCCATCAAAGGAAGTTGATTCTTGTATATTCCAACCAGCTGCAATTGTAGCTTGTCGCTTGGTTGAATCATCCAGTCAAGGTTTTAAGTCCAGTAGCTATCTGCTAAAGGGAGCTGTTGGAGACATTGGGGACAAGGATGCTTCAAAGTGTAGATTGTCTAGCTCTGACACAAATGATCAGAAAGGAAATGATGTAAGTGCTGCTATTGCATCACCTGTTTCTCAGGAGAGCCATGTTAGCAAGCTTTTAGTTAGCAGGCCTGAACCCATTCAATGTTCCAGGCGGAAATGGAAAGAGTCGTCATTTGTGGAACTTGATGAAGAAGAAAGTTTAGCTCCCCCTAAAGAGTCTACTACAGATCCTAAACCTATTTTGCGTTATCACCTCCATCGCTTACTTAGAGCAGCAAAATGGGTTATAGGGAGGCGTAACAGAATCACACACTGTAAAGGGCATGGAGAGTATGTCTTTAAATCTCCTGAAGGAAGGCCAATTAGGGAATTCCATAGAGCTTGGAACATGTGCGGTCAGAAACTATTTGCAGATGCAAATTATGTTGTTGATGATAGTGATGGGATACATTGGACCAATTTGACGCAGTTCCAGTCTGATCTTTCTAATACTTTGATAGAGATTGAAGAGCAACTGAGAAATTTGGAAGCTGCCACTGCCTTGGCTCATTGGTGGTATTTGCTTGATCCTTTTGCAAAAGTGGTGTTTATTGACAAGAGCCTGCGCTTCCTCAAAGAAGGGAACCAGGTAAAAACAAAGAGAAGTGTTGTGGATGGTTTCTATTTGAGTGATGCTGCTGCCTTGCATTCAAGAAATGAAGCTATCGCTGCAAAACAGATTACTAGAAAACATGGGAACGAGAGTAGTAGCTTGGTTCTAGTTTCCTCACCAATCTGCAGATCAGATACCATTTCCTGCCAAACAAATAACCTGTATGCACATCCAGTTTCTTCGGCAACTGCAAATGCATCAACTGGAGGATCCGAATCTATCTGTCCTCATCAAGATGGAATAGAGCTTGGGTCTGGGTGTATGGAGGAGGATCGGCATTGCAGTGGAGTCCAACAGCATAGGATGGATGGTTCTTCATTTGCACTGGATGCTGTTGTGAACACTAAAGAACACAAGAAATCAAAAAAGATATCTGAGATGAAAGTAAGTGCTGCGAATGGTTTGCAGGAGATCAGCGAGAGTAGCGTTCAACTAAAATCAAATATGGCAAGGCCCTGCACTGTAAGTAATGCAGAAAATTATGGAAGTTATAGAAAGTCATCTTTTTGCTTTTCTGAGGACCAGCATGAGAAGAAACAATCAACGTTTAAGAAGTCCCTGCAGCATTCTGGAAGCCCTAAGAGGTCAAGCACATGTGAAAAGGACCGTAGACATGAAAAAGAGAGAAAAGGGAATTGTCACCTTAATGATGATGATCTTTTACTTTCAGCTATCTTGAAAAACCGATCCACTACCAAATCATCAGGTATTAAGAGGAAGTCCTGTGTCCCAAAAGTTCCGAGGAAGTATAAAGGTCCCAAAGGGAGCTGCAGGTTGCGTCCACGAAGTCTTACCAAAGGTGGGCAGCCTCACATGGAAGGGAGGTGGTCCGGCCTTGGTGTAAGGACAGTATTATCCTGGTTGATAGATTTTGGGGTTATTCGCGTTAATGAAGTGATCCAGTATAGGAATCCAAGAGATGATTCAGTGGTGAAGGATGGTTTAGTTACCCGAGATGGTATTTTGTGTCGTTGTTGTGAGAAGATGCTTTCTGTTTCTGAGTTTAAGAATCATGCTGGTTTCAGCCTGAAAAGCCCATGCTTAAATCTGTTTATGGAGTCTGGAAAATCTTTTACCTTGTGCCAACTGGAAGCTTGGTCAGGTGAATACAAAGTCCGGAGAGGTGCCACACGAACTGTTGAGGTTGAGGAGATCGATGAAAATGACGATAGTTGTGGCCTGTGTGGTGATGGGGGTGAGTTGATATGCTGTGATAACTGCCCGTCAACCTTTCATCTAACATGCTTGTGTGTACAGGTCTGTCTTGCTTTCCCTGCAGTTTTCATTTAGGTGGTTTCATAATTTGTCTGAAGATATTCTTTGGCAAGCATCTAATTTATAATTCTTTTATTTATTTTTTGATAGAGTATTTGATTATTTGCCAAACACACTTTAGGTATCTGTTCTGTCTCAAGAACTTTAAGGGTTCTAGATGCTCAAAGAAGGCTTCTTGGGCTATTAAGGGGTTCGACTATTATACACGGGGTAAATGACACCTAGACCCCTTTACTGACCAAAAACAATTAGTTCCTCTCCCCAACAGACGTCATAATCATAGATTGTCTTCAATGTGGTTAAAATTTCTCATACTTCTGACCAGGGACAGACATTAGATTTCTCTGTTAGCGACTTGGTGTCACTTTTGTAAATTAACACTTTAGAAAGGAAACGGTGAAGAAGGGTATACAAGAAAACAAAAATCTTAAAATATGTTCACTTATATTACCAAACAGGAGAGAATGACAAAAAATTCCATTTGACTTTGCGAATCAACCACATGTATCTTCCATAATCTAAGAACTTCTATAACTTTTCTTTTTCCATTTTAAAATCTCAACAGATCTGATACCAACAAAGAAATAAGATAATAAGGAAATTGCATGCACATCACCACCTGTTACTATGCATGAATACAAATGGATATAAGTGGCCTCAAAATAAACAAACAGTAAGGTTTCAATTATCCATGAAACCATGTTGAAGTTGCATTCTTTACTGAACCAAAACACGGCCTTCACAAAAAGGCTCCCAAGATTCTTGGAGACCTAGGACAACTTACATACCTTGTGAAACTATTTATGAATCAGCTTTTGACTTGTAAAGTTGGAATATTGTTTTTCTTCTGTTTTTTGCGTTTTGTTGTTTTCTGGTTTTAATTCATCTCATAGTTGCATGTTGATTTAGTTGGAATATTTTCATAAGGATCCAAGGGTAAATAAACTGGCCCATTAGCAGAAGAAAATATCAATATCTGTGATGCAAAAAAATTGATCACAATGTAGCAGAAGATCCATACTTAACAATTATGGCAATGTATTTCTTGCCTTATTTAAGTCATCATAGTGTGGTTCAATGAAAGATAATTAGATATATATATACCTGTGAGGTTTATCTTTTTTTTTTTTTTGCAACAACTACTTATATAGATCCCAATATTTTTCATTTGCTAAATTTTTTAAAGATACTGTGTTGACTTGATCATGTTTTACAAAAAAAAATTAGATTCTCTAATCTTTTGTCAATACCCTTAAATCTGCACTCCAGCAATTTTACATGTATAAGAGTTGGCTATACCTCACTTTTCACAATTTATCTACATTCCATCCCACCTGGGTGTTTGGGAATCATGTCAGTTTTCTAACTTGAAATGGCACAAATTAGCTTGGATTTCTTATGCTCTTATTCTATGTTCCTGAAAATCAATAGATTCGTATGAACTTGGACCTGTGTCATAACTCTGCAAAATCATAGAGTTTGAAAGGCACATAGAAGGGAATATATGCCTCCCCCCGAGAATAGGGTGAACTTTATCATTAAGATGCCGCTGATTGATCGTCATATTTTCATTCCAGCACCTAAGAATAGTTTCGTGCCATGCTTGCTGACTCTTGGATTTTTCCGAACTATTATAGCTTAAGTGCAAAGATGTAAATAGAAAGAGAAATGGAAAATTTTAAAGTAAAGGAGAGAGCAAAAGTAGGGGCAAGTTTCTACTTGCAAATACTCGAGGTAATATATTTACTGATGCTTGCTCAATGGGGACACATTATAGGTTTATCCTACCGTAAACCTATATAAAAACATCTTAGCGTGTACCTTGGAAGGAAGGCACACATGCTTCAGAATTGCCGTTGAATGACAACAATTAAGGTTCTGGTTGAAGATTAGACTTAAGATGATGGACTTCCTCTGATGGAAATATCTTTTTACATCCCAATTAAAGATCGTGCAAAATAATGGCTTGTTTTGTTGGGGTCAGAGGTCTCTTAAGCAACTTGCATGTGGAAACTCTCTCTCTTTCTCTTCCCTGTCATGGCTGATGATGCAGTTTATTCAGGAATCGGAAGTAAGGATATGGTTTTGATTGGACGTTAATTTAAGGTCATTAGGGTCCGGAATTCGGATCAAGGATTCCTGTCTTAATCTTGTTAACATATAGGTTTTCAGCAGTTATAACTATAATCGAAAGGCTTATGCTTTGTGGTTTGGTTCAGGAAAAGAGAAACATCTGTAATGTAACTTAAAAACCCTGGTTCATATGTTTTTTGATGCGAATATAACCAGAACTAGAAAAACACAACTTTTTTTGCTTGGGCAGTATTTTCCAGATCAAAAATCGTTCATATCATCGATAGATTTGATAGACATTAATTAGCTTTCATTGGACACTTGCCAACATTAGTTACACAAACTGTGTCTATTCTGTAGATATTCTATCTATTATTTGATTGGGGTTCTTTGGATTTTATAGTATTTTTTCTGCTCATAGCCGGCCCTAAGACATGAATATTAGTATATTCTGTCTGATTTTTTATGAATCTGTTTCTTAATTTATTTGGTTTTTGGTAACCCCTTTTACGTGCCTTACTTTTTCCAGGAGCTGCCTGAAGGCAATTGGTATTGTTCGAAGTGCTCTTGCTGGATATGTGGGAATGTGGTCAATGATAATGAGGCTTCAAGCATGGGTGCTCTGAAGTGTTTGCAATGCGAACATAAATGTAAATTTCTGTACTTGAAAACCAGAATATTTTCTTGTTTCTTGTCAATGTCTAGTCACCGAACAAATGATTTTTATAATCAAAGAAGAACATTTTCCTATTTGGCCATTGAAGGTAATATATTGCTCTTCATAAACCAAGTTGGCAACTTGGGACAGAACCGTATTTCATTTCCAAAGGATGTTTAGCTCTTCTTTAGCTTATTACTAGTCATCTGTCTCTATGATGATGGTGAGTCTTTGTAAATGCTTATCTGAAATTTCTGTTTAGATCTCGTAAGCACCTTTAGACATTTAAATTCTACCATCCTCTTGTATTGTTTTATTTCACTTTTCGAATTTCGAGTTATCTTTCAATTTTTGTCCTTTCTCGTGATTGTGTTTCCTGTAAACAGACCATGAGGAATGTCTTAGAGAGAAGGAAATGGAAAGAGAGTTGGTGCCTTCTACCCAGTGGTGCTGTGGGGAAAGCTGCAAGGAGGTAACATACATTAACATTTTTACCAGCTTAAATAGGAAATATGGATGGAAAAAGCTACGGGTTCAGAGAAGTTCTTTATGAGAATTGTTTATGGGTTATGCTAATTGAGTTGGAATCCACCTAGTATTGAACGTTATCAATAAATTTTGGTCTCAATCTTTTGTAGGTTCACTCAGGGCTTCAATCCCGGATTGGGCTTATGAATCCCATTTCTGATGGTTTCTCCTGGACCCTTCTGAAATGCATTCATGGTGACCAAAAGGTCCATTCTGCTCAGCGTTTGGTTGCTCTGAAAGCTGAATGCAATCTGAAACTAGCTGTTGCTCTTACAATCATGGAGGAGTGTTTTCTTCCAATGGTGGATCCGAGAACAGGAATTGATATGATACCTCATGTCGTGTACAATTGGGGGTGAGCGCTCACTCCAGCTTCAATTTTTGTTTTCATCTGTTCTGTTTTCAGGTTGTTGATGTTGCAAGTAGATTTTCTTTTTACCTTTCTCATTTCATGAATTTTTTTCACTACTTTCACATCGTATGCTAATAATATAACTTTAGGGAGATAATTTGCTTTGTTTGATTTTCAGATCAGAATTTGCCCGTCTCAACTATGAGGGGTTTTATACATTGATATTGGAGAAAGATGATGTGATACTATGTGTGGCATCTGTAAGGTAACCCTTTGATACAAGCTATCCTTGTAATGTATCTTAATTTACAGGCTCTTTTCAATCAACTTGTTATATGTATGAATCCAAAGTTTGGCCTGGGAGATGAAGTTTGCTGATATTTCTTAAGCTAAACATCGCCTGATGATCATACTTGAATTCAATCCAAAGAAATCGAGGTAGGGGACATTGCCCTACTAGGACTAAATGCCATTTAGGGTCGTTTAACGACACAAATTAAGCGAGCGCTAACAGGGGAAGCGTGTGGTCTGGGTAATTGCTGACCTAGGAAGAGAGCCTTTCGGACCTGTTTGTTAGCAGCTTAATGAGCTTAACGAGACTCACAGCTTATTTGGTCAGCTATACATGACTTTTTGATAGTGGCTTAATCATATAGAAAATGGCTTATTCAGTAAGCTTCCAGGGGGAAGCTTGATGCAGAAAGCCAAGTTATTCCCAAACCTGTCCCCTCCAAATTAAAAAACAAGCTCCTTCCGTCTATGAAAAAACCCTCCCAAATGAAAACCTTCCCAATCTATACAGACGGATTAATCCACACAAACAATTTTATCTATATAGAACTTAATGGAAAACCAACTAAACAGCCCTTCCTTTCTTGCCGAGTCAGCATCCCGGTCAACATCTTTTCTTTGTCAGAGTGTGGTGAACAACATCACCTCTTTCCGGGTAAGCATCTCTTACCCACCAAGAGGAGCTCAGCAATTAGTGAACAACCCCGTAGGGCTAAGTAGAATCAAAGCTTATATTGTGAAGCAGACCCCCAATTATTTATATCTTGCTTTTAAGGTAACCTTTCACACATTGCAGCATTATGGTATGTTAGATTCTGAAGATCTAAACTTGGTAATTGGCCTGTCAATATTAATGCTAGGCTAATCAAACGGCAAGCTATTGGAAATTTTAGTTTTTCTTATCGTTCTTCTCATATAACTCATCCTACTAAGCGTCAATCTGTTTTCATTCATTTGAGAAGTAATGTTTGCAGCATGATGCTATCCATCCTTGTTAGACACAAGTTTTTTAAACTCTATAGTTGGATTTAAGTGCATTTTGCACTAGCAAATTACACTTCTCAACATAAAGAAAAAACTCACACACCCACATAGACCCAAGAAAACGTATGCCTGAGTCTTGTGCCCTAATGGCATATATAGCAATATATTAATCAGATACGTTTGGTATTCAAGCAAGACAGGACATGACAACTGATCAACGTTTGGTAAGATGGAACTCAACACGACATAATAGATAAGATGACCACATTACCCTAATGAGTTGTTTATATATTTTGATTAATTAATTTAATCTATTAAATTATAATAAAATATAAAAAAGTAACAAAATATATCATTAGAAAGTTCCGTCAAGACGATTAAAATGATACCAAATTAAAAAAATTATATAGTATACCTTTTCTATATTATTTTTTTATTACTAATATTTAATAAATTACATAAATCAATCAAAATATAGAAACCGTACAAAATTATTTTGAGGATGGTAAAGTGAAAGTTTAAAGAGCATAAAATCCAATAAATAAAATTTAAAGAATGAATAAAATGTAAAGAGGGAGACGTATTTGATGTTGTAGAAGAGAATTAGGATTTATTTTGAGGTTATATTGGTAAAATATAGGTTTGTTTCACCTTGTTCGATGAGGTGGGGGTGGAGCACACCTGTTCCAAATTGTTCTACTCTGTTTTCTGTCTGTTCCACATAAAATCCCTGCCAAACATGAAACAGTGATCCCTGTTTTGTCCAGCAAACGCACCCATAAGGTATTACTCTCTTGTGAATAATGAATAATCTATTATTTGGTTTCCAGAAATTTCCTGCTTCGTGTAGTCTACACCTGTATTTGCTAAATATTCCAGGGTATGATATTTTCAAATTCTTGTTCAGGATCCATGGGGTAGCAGTTGCAGAGATGCCGCTAATCGCAACGTGCAGCAAGTATAGGCGCAAGGGAATGTGTAGGCGCCTCATGAATGCTATTGAAGAGGTAATATTTCATTGTGCAAAAATGGTGAACTATTAATTTATCATTGCGTCTCCATTGATCTCCCCTACCAGCTTATAAAATTAAATGTTCTTGCATATCTCCTGCTAAATTCGATTTTATTTTCCAAACATGGTAAACTAGTAAATAGTTCATTTGATGATTGCGTATTCATTGATTCCCTCTACCATCTAAAAATTATAAGGTTCTTGTGCTAATCCTTCTAAACTGTATTCCTTCGGTCCCATAATAAGTGTCTACATTTCTATTTTAGTTTGTCCCAAAATAAGTGTCAACTTTTAAAAGTATGTGCCTACTCCAAATCTACTCTTAATTATGAGATGGAAAAATTCATTACTCGCTCTATTTATTAGGCGTAAAATTGTCATTTAGTTGAGTAAGGAGTGTAATAATTGCATTTCTTAAACTGTCCGACTTTTTCATGGTATACATTTATCTTTGGGACGAGGGAGTATTTTATTTCACAATGAAGAAGCGAAATATTACCAACATTGGGATATTTAAGTGTGAAGTGTCGACATTTCTATTTTAGTTTGTCCCAAAATAAGTGTCAACTTTCAAAGAAGTTCCTACTTTCCAAATCTACTCTTAATTATGAGATGGAGAAATTCATTACTATCTCTGTTTGGAGGGTAAATTTGCCATTTAGTTGCGTAAGAAGTGTAATAATTGCGTATTTCTTAAACCGTCTTGATTTTTTCATTGTGTACATTTATTTTTGGGACGAGGGAGTATTTTATTTTGCAATGAAGAAGCGAAATATTACCAACATTGGGATATCTAAGTGTGTGTGTTAGGGGTGTAAACGAGCCGAGTCGAGTAGTAGGTTATTCGAGCTCAGCTCGAAATAATATACCAGGCTCAAGCTCAACTCGAGCTCAAATATTTTTTGAGTTATCGAGCTCAAGCTTGAAGCTTGTTTATGGGCTCGAACTAGCGATCGATTAACTCGTTTATTGGGTTGAGGTTGATAATTCTAATTTATGATTTATGAACATATGAGCATGTTTGGCTTTAAAATTTGTATGCTAGGATGACTCGGCTCGACTCCATTCGACTTGAAAAATATAATCGAGTTTTCGAACGAGCCCAGTCAAATATTGGTCTTATGAAGCTCGACTCGTTAAGTTAAACGAGTTTTATGTTGTGTTCGAGATCGACTCGAGCTCGAGAATTATTAAGCTCGAGTAGCTTGTTAAAAGCTCGACTCATTTACACCCTTAATGTGTATGATGCACACATGCATGTGTCCTCCATTATGTGTCTAAAGATCATACATTACTCTCACGCTTTTACGTGCTGACGTCTTCATGGAAACAATCGCTCTACTCTTTGGGTAGACATCATGTCTGCTAATATCTTATCCTCCCTAGACCCCACCCCAGGTGGGACACACCGGGTTCGTTCGGTTTAGTTTTTGGTGTTGGGGTTTGTTTTTGGTGGTGGCTCATTTTGCATATGACCCGATTCTTTAGGTGCTGAAGTGCTTCAAGGTTGAGAAGCTGGTGGTATCCGCCATCCCCAGCTTGGTTGAGACCTGGACAGATGGCTTTGGGTTCACGCCCTTGGAAGTCGATGAGAAGAAGAGCCTGACTAAAACCAACTTGATGGTATTCCCAGGGACCGTATGGCTCAAGAAGCCCATGTACCAAGGTACAATCCGAACCACAAACCTTTCCCTTTTCTTGACGAACCCCATTGTTACATAGGGGAAAATTCAAATGAGAACCATAAATATTTTTAGCATCGATATATGCATATAGGACCAGGTTTTGGGGACACCGCGAAAATGGAAAACTGAGGAACGCCCTAGTAACTATTCATTTGTATGGTATGCACATGCGCATACAAGTAACTTGCAAGTAATTTTTCTGGTGTGCACATTGCATGACATCCACACGTGCATAAACCAAGAAACATCTTCAATTACTTACAAGCTACTTGTATGTACATGCGCATCCCGTACAAATGAACGGTTACCGGGTGTTCCTCTGTTTTTTTTTTTTTTTTGTTTTTTTTTATATATATATATATATATATATATATATATATATATATATATATATATATATGGTCAGATTTGGGGGAAAACCGCAAAAAAAATGAAAACTGATGAACACCCTGGTAACGGTTCATCTGGATGGTATGCACATGTGCATACAATTTATAATCAATTTGTATGCATGCATACATACATAAAAACCAAGAAACAACTTCAATTACTCGTATGCACATGTGCATACCGTTCAAATAAATGGTTACCAGAGTGTTCCTCAATTTTTCATTTTTTGGGGGTTTTCCCTGGAACCTCTCTCTCTCTCTCTCTCCATGTGTGTGTGTGTGTGTGTGTATATATATATATAGGGTTGGGTTTACGTGAGACCAGACTGTTTTCGTGAGACCCGTGATACCTCATTTTTACACTTAAAACTTCACAGCAAAACAACTGTGAAGGTTTAAAAAAGTCGAACCTTCACAGCAAAAACACTGTGAAAGTTACCTTCACAGCATTTTGCTGTGAAGTTTCAAGTGTAAAAAGTTGGTCTCACGAAAACAGGCTGGTCTCACGTGATCCCAAGTCTATATATATATATATATATATATATATATATATGCAACTCGGGCAAGTTCATTTAGGAATCTTAAATATTTTAGGAACTCATAAACCACCTATTTTGTAAGTATTGAATATCTGTCACGTTATTTATCGTGAATAACGTATCTCGTTATTCATCATGAATACTCACAAAAAGGGTGGTTCTTGGGTTTGTAAAAGATTTAAGGTTTCTAAATGAACCTCCCTCATATGCAATCTATACACTATCAAGATACGTATATGTCAATTAGTATATTCATCAATGTATATCTACCATATATGCATTGGTCAAATACTCACTGAAAAATTACTTACTATATATATATACTATATACATGGTTCTCACCATTCTTAAAATATTTACAGTTTCATTTCTTCCCCTTGTTACATACATATCCCACCGACCTCCTCAAGTTGAAATTTCTTATTCATGAACAGGTGCTCCAACGGAAGCTGTAGCTTCTGACCCGAGTTCTAACCACGAGGAGGCTTCATCTCCGGTGGAGAAGATTACGCCTGTTGTTTTGCAAGAAGACGAAGAACCAAAGGTGTCATCTGAAGCGGGTTCAAAAACGGAAGGATGCTCGTCTGAAACGGGTTGTGACATAAGCGGAACGACAACAGGGAACTAACTCTTCTTCCAATATGAGTCTCAACAAATGAGCAATAAAGTTTGTACATTTGAGAAAGTTTTGCAGTTTAAGGATCTGCCAAATTTGATGCAAAATAGAACAATGGAAGTTGCATCTGTGCTGGCATTTGTTTGTTGTTTGTTTATTGAGGAAAAGGAAATGTGTTAGTATGTTGTACAATTACACTTAGGGTTGGATATTTAGAGGAAGATGCAAATGGGATGAGATGAATTGTGTTGTGTTGTACATACTTTCTTTATATTTCTCACAAACAGGGTTTCTTAATGGAAACAGCTTTTCTATTTATTTAGAGTGGACGTTAGGTATGTGTACAGGGGCGGACTCACATGGATGGATACAGTGGTACGGGCCATAGCTTTATGGTTCTGTCATAAAGGAGAAAAAGATTACGGTTCGAAAGGGGTCGGCATATTTAGAGTGGAGGTTAGGTATGGACCCACATGGATAGATACAGTGGTACGGGTCATCGCTTCATGGTTCTGTCGTAAAGGAGAAAAAAATTATGGTTCTAAAGGGGTCAACATATTTAGAGTGGAGGTTAGGTATGTGTACAGGGGCGGACCCGTATGGATCGATATAGTGGTACGGATCACTGTTTCATGGTTTTGTCAAAAAGGAGAAAAAATTACGTTTCTAAAGGGGTAACATATTTAGAGTAGAGGTTAGGTATGTGTAAAGGGGGGGGGGGACCTACATGGATAGATATAGTGGTACGGGTCACCGCTTCATGATTCTGTCATAAAGGAGAAAAAATTACGTTTCTAAAGAGGTCAACATATTCAGAGTGGAGGTTAGGTATCTGTAAAGGGGCGGACCCACATGGATAGATACAATGGTGCGAGTCACTATTTCATGGTTCCGTCGTAAAGGAGAAAAAAATTACATTTCTAAAGGAGCCAACATATTTAGAGTGGGGGTTAGGTATGTGTACAGGGGCTGACCAACATAGATAGATACAGTGGTACGAGTCACAGCTTCATGGTTTTGTCATAAAGGAGAAAAAATTACATTCCTAAAGGGGTCAATATATTTAGAGTGGGGGTTAGACATGTGTAAAGGGGCGGACCTACATGGATAGATACAACGCTACGGGTCACCGCTTCATGGTTCTGTCATAAAGGAGAAAAAAATTACGTTTCTAAAGGGGTCAACATATTTAGAGTGTGGGTTAGGCATTTGTAAGGGGGCGGACCCACATGGATAGATACAGTGGTACGGGTCACCGCTTCATGGTTCCATCATAAAGAAGAAAAAATTACGTTTCTAAAGGGGTTAACATATTGTTTTGTTGGATGTCACACTATAGATGGTTAAGATGGTAGATGCTTCTGCCTTTTGTGAAAAAAAAAGCTCAGGTTCGAGTCCTGCAGCTGTCAAATTTGTTGTTTTTTAACTTAAGTTTTAGTGTGTGTTTTTTAAAACATATATAGACTGGACTTAAACATGTGTCTTTCTTTTGTAAGGATAAGGAACCAACCAATAGATCTATACTAATATTATGTGAAAAGAAACAGATACGTTTTATAGTTTCATTGTATCACCACTTAATAAAAATTGAGTCTGCCTCTGTCTATTTATATCCCAAATCGACCATGGACGTATGCACCCTTTAGGGGTAGGAATCCAAAAAATGAAAACTTTTAAACCCTGAATCTTGTATCTGTCACATTCTATTTTACTGGTCAGTCATCTACTCATTGCTTTCAGTGTCATAATTCACAACAATTTTAGCGTTTTCTTAGATGATTTCAGTATTTAAGTTTGTCATTTCAATTAAATTATTTGTTAATTTTGTCAAATTATTATGTGTCCTTTTGTTGCTTATAATGACGGTTTACTAAGGATCTCCGATTAAATCGAAACCATTTAACCCGGACCTCGTTTAGTTTAGATGGGTTATTCGGCTTTGATTTTGTTTTGATACCTCTGGGTTTGCTCGTGAGTCGTGATCACCTGACTTCTGGATCCACCATTGATTCTAACCCTAACTCGAGATGAGATATACTGAATTTTGGATTCCGACATACTTTACCTACGTTCCTTGTACGTTTATCCAACAACCTTTTTCCTTTCAAAATCCTTCTTCTTTTGTTGGACCAAACGAGTGTTGGTTGGATTAAACGACCTTTTTATTTCTTAAAATTTATTTTGGTAACCCAATCTTTGATTACGTTGGTTTCGTTAAAAAAAAATTAGCCGTAAAATAAATTTGGCGTATCTGGTTTTGAATAAATAGTTAGATGGCGTTTGGTTAACAGATTCTAAAGAAATCTCATGGAATTGAAATGTTGAATTTCTTTGACCATATTTCATTCACTTGTTTGGTTTGTTCGTTTTACTGGAAGAAATCTTTAAATTCCATTAAATTCTATAAATGAGGAACAAATAACTAAAAAACAATTTTTAAAAACTAGTAACGGAAATAGTTATAAACAACATATCACGTATATGAAAATCATAATTTAGGGGCTGTTCGGCAATTGTTGAATGGTTTGGTGCAGAATGGTTAAGAAGCTCTGATGATATAGTGCAAAATGAAATATAATTGTTTGGTAATTGTGTACAATGAAATTAGGGCTCTTAATGGTTAAAGGAGAGCCACGATACAAAATTATTTAGAGAGTTTTAGAACCATTAAGAGATAAAAAAAAATTTGTCAAACAAGATTCATCTCCTAACGATTCAGAGATTGCCTCTTAATGAAACTATTAAGAGGTAAACAAATAACCTCTTATTGTTATTCAGAAATTCCATGCAAAATTCTTACCAAATGATCATTTTCATTAAGCACCGAGTCATACAGAGTCTTTTAATCATTCTGACCCCTTAATCATTTTTAACAAAATAATTCAGGTTTTGCCAAACAACCCTTGCTCAAAAACTTTATAAAACATTTTAAAAATGTGTTTTTAAGATGGGGAAATTGCATGAAAAAAGTATCGTATTTTAGTTTGATTCTTATTTTGAATAATGTATTTTTAAAACTTCTATTTTGATACCTAAGATGTAAAATTTTAAACATTTAAATACTGGATAACTAATTGAAGACTAATTTTAGATTAAAAAAAGACTAATTTGATATTAGAAAAAATTCATATCTTTAACCATGTCAACAAATAATACTGAGTCAAATATCACATTACTCACTATATCAACATGATAACCGATTAATAATTTAATTTTATTTAAATATTTAAAACTTTACATATTAGATATCGTAATGAAATATGTTACCGTGCAATTTACGTTTTTAAGATAAAAATAATAAAAATATATCTACATCATTCATTAAGTACAACATCCATTGATTGAACTTGATGTCTCCAAAGACTTCGGTAACTACAAGTCAGCTTGAAATGGAAACCAAACTTCATCACTAACAAATCTCCTCATAAACCCTAGATCTTCCAATGCCGATGCCTTCATCTAGAAAGTTCTTCCAAGCTCGTCCTCAATCTAACTTGGTTCGTAGATCAATCCTGCTAACACTTTGTTTCGTGATCGGAATCGCCAGTTTGATATTGTTCGGTATTGTTGTTTCAAGAGGACAAATCGGAGGAGGAAACAAATGTAAGTACATTAAACCTCTATCGGTGTCTGTGGTTTGGGATAAAAGTGGTGCTTCTACCGGAGGAAATGAAAGGGGAGGGTTAGTGTCTGATGGAGATCAGAAGAGACATAAGGTGATGGGATTTGTTGGAATTCAGACCGGTTTTGGATCGGTTGGTCGACGGCAATCGTTGCGGAAGACTTGGATGCCTTCCGATCACCAAGGCCTTCAACGGTGCGTTGTTCTAACTTTGTTTATGCTCGTAGATGCAGTAGGAATGTGAATTCGGTATGTTTGTTCTGTGTTTTTATTTTTATTTTTTGGATCCTCGATGAATCTGTAAGAGCTTATAATTGATTCTTATTTAGCCGTTATAAACAAGCAGATCGGATCAGGAATTAAACATGAAATATGTGTTTGATTATGAGCTATATTTGTTGTCATTAACTAATTTCTGATTAGGGCAGGAAACAACTACAGGTTTTATATAGAAAATTGAGCTTAACTCTCCGAGTCCAACTTGAGTGAGTTTGAGTTTAAATTCGGGTACAAATATGAGCTCCAAACATGGATAAGAATTTACAAAACCTCACTTTGAATTCTTATCAAGCTTTTCGGGCCATAAGTGTTTGTTAAAGAGTAAGTACTTTTCGATTTACTTTTTTGAGCTAAACTATGACAGATGTTTTCAACAATTCAAGCTCTCGAATCGAAGCTTGATTTATTGAGCATGGTTTCACTAGACATTTTTGAGCTATTCAAGCTCTGAAATTGAGCTTGAATATTTCTCGAGCTGTGCACGACTCGTAGTGCTACTGAATCAAGTTTGAGCTCAGCCTAAGATTGTCTTGAGGTTGGCTCAGCTGGTTTGCAGCCCTATTTCTGAACACGAGTTTACCATATGCAGGTTGGAAGATGCCACTGGCTTAGTCTTCAGGTTCATCATTGGCAAAACTGGTGACGCTTCAAAAATGGCGGCGCTTAGGAAAGAGGCGGAGGAATATGACGACTTCTTGATGTTGGATATCGTAGAAGAGTACAGTAAGCTCCCATACAAAACGTTAGTGCTGATGGCCGAAGTAAATCAGCAAATTGTGCTCACTGCCTCATATTCTAACTAATTTCTGTGTCTATTACAGGTTAGCCTTCTTCAAAGCTGCGTATGCACTTTACGATTCTGAGTTTTATGTTAAAGCTGATGATGACATATATTTGCGACCAGGTGATTAAGCTGTCCGTTTGTTGGGTGCTCAGGCATTTAACTTACGAATGATTGGCTTCTTGGACCTTCATACTTGGGTTGTTCACTGCAAACAACCATTGTTCTTGTGAGAATGTGAAGTAAAACCACTATCAAGTATATGGTGTTTGCCTCCTCAATGAATCTCCTTCCAAATCATACAAAGAGAACAGTTGATTTTGCAAAAACGGAACATGAAGCACAAATTTTGAAAATGCAAAAAGAACATTATAGTTTGATGAAAATCGTTCGTGTAGTTTTTACTTTTTCGCAAAAAAGATGGATGGTTTGTTTGCAATGGAAGAATAAAGTATTAGGGTAAAAAAGTGAATCACCCTTTAACTTGTTGTCACATAAGATAGTGTCTCGATTGCTTGTTCTTTGACTTTTTTCTGAGATTGTTCCACGTTTCACACTTTCTTGTTTCATTTGATTCTAGATCGTCTCTCACTGCTCCTGGCTAAAGAGCGTTCTCACTCGCAGACTTATCTTGGATGCATGAAGAAAGGTCCTGTGTTCACTGACCCAAAACTCAAATGGTTAGTCTTCCAGAAACTTCCCATGTGTGTATCATGATACTGGCTTTAGGCTGTTATATGACCCACATGGAGATCTTTATTCGGCAGGATTCTGCGACTAGAGATGCACAAAAAAGCCCAAGTGCGAAGCCTGGCCCGAAAAGTGCCGTCTGTAAAAGTCCGATTGGGCCCTTTCCAACGCCAAAGCTTGGGCTTTTTCTGCTAACTAAAAATGGGCTTGGAAGGCCAGGGCCTTGTGCATCTCTAAGCGAGTATGTTCTTGGCTTTGATTCTTTTCCTCTTCTGGGATTTTGTTTCCCTAGATGCTTGTGCATAGCTCATCCCTGACATGTAAATTGTAAGATATGTTTTTCATTCCATGGCAAAGATGAATTTACATTTAAAAGATGATAATCTCTATGGTGCATTATACTCAGGAAAACCTACCTTCATATTATCAAATAATTGAAATTGGATCTGTAGTAACTAGAAATGCACAATTCTGTACATCTCTATATCCTTACTGCTGTAGTCATCCACCATAACTAGAAAATCCCTTTGATCTTTAGTCTCATGGGTTTTGAATGCATTTTCTAAAACGTAAATAGTATATGACAAGCTGATGCTTAAGGATTTACTTGTAGATTGCTTCAGTAGGAGAAAGATAGAGTGGTATGATGAACACTCTTAGATGATAATTCACTCTTTTGGAGTGTTGGGGTTTCAAAATCTTATGTTCTTTTATTAGAGCTTCTGCTATGATTTTTTTCCATAACTGTGGGTGTCCGGGTGTAAGATCCCACATCAGTTGGGGAGGGGAACTAAGGTACCGGATACCTCCTCTAACATACACATTTTAAAACCGTGAGTCCAATGTGGACAAAGCGGACAATATCTGGCACGGTTGGCCTGGGATGTTACACCGGGCCAACTTGTACGCACCTTGACCAATCCAATAGGGTCCTAAAGATAACGATGCAAATACTCGGTGGTCGTGAGGAGACTCGAACTAGCTACCTATAGAAGAGATTCCCAAAAGGCCTAGCCTTTATTTACCAGTTCTTGACTAAGCGTATTAATATATGCAGGTATGAACCTCTAGGATACATGCTTGGGCAAGAGTACTTTCTCCATGCTTATGGTCCAATATATGCTCTTTCGGCAGACGTTGTTGCAAGCTTGGTTGCATTAAGAAACGACAGGCAAGTGACCTTCCATTTTGGCATTTGTATCACATTTTCAGTCTATCACTCTTCATTCTTGGAGATTAAAAAATGCCATGCTACTTGTGCTGAAACCGATCTTTGTACTACAAAAATTTAGATTAGTTGTTACTAATATCATGAAGTCAATTATCTCCCAGTTTCCGGATGTTCAGCAACGAGGATGTTACTATCGGTGCATGGATGCTTGCAATGAATGTCAACCATGAGGATAACCGTCAACTTTGCCAACCAGAATGTACTGCTACATCGGTTGCTGTGTGGGATATCCCCAAGTGTTCAGGTTAGTTATCCTTGATGTGTTCATGTGTAATAAAACCTGCTATTCTGACCCCTAGGGCATAGTAGAGTTGGTTCTGGGAGGATATATGTAGGGGTGTAAATGATACGAGACAGTTTGAAGTTACTCGAGATCGACTCGGTTAAAACTCGGTCAATGCTCGACTCGAATAGGCTCTCGAGATCGAGCTCGACTCGTCATATTAACGAGTCAAGTCAACTACCCAATACTCGACTTGAAAAGCTCGTGAGATACTTGATTTTTTTAATATATAATTAGTTTTAAAATATAATCAGTTTTATAATATAATTTGTAAAATAAAATATAATTAAAATGTCTTATATTGTAAGATATTTGAACAAAATTGTGCATTTTTTTACTATAAAAACTAATCAATTATTTTATTACTAAAATCATAATTAAAAAAGACAAAAAAAAAACTATAGAAGTGTTGGTGAAATTGTCTCACATTGGATGAGAAATAGTAAAGGAATGGTGAAGAGGTTTTATAAAAAGAGAGGGAGGTGAATGCGCTTTGTAACTTTGTCTTTTTGAAGATGAAGTTTGAGGTGCATTCCTTTGGTTTTATAAAATTTAAGAGAACACCTTTAAGTTCTATAATTTTTAAGAGAATACCCTAAAATTTCATAAATTTCAATGGGTGAGAATGGTTCAATTTTGATTCGAGTTAGAACTCGAGCTTGGTTCGAGTTGGAGTTCGAGCTTGGTTCGAGTTGGAGTTCGAGCTTGGCTCAAGCTTCAAACAAGTTCGAGCTCGAGTTTAAAAAATTGCAATCGAGTTTGAGTCGAGTTTAGTTTTTAACTACTCGGGAGTTTTTGAGTCGGGTTTGAGCTTGAGAAATTACTATCAAGTTCAAGTCGAGTATATCGATACTCGAGCTCGACTTGCATCATTTACACCCCTAGATATATTTTACAGATGGGTTAGAATTTCACAGAGATACTCCTCTTGTCGGATAATTGAATTGAATAGCAAAAGACAGAATGTAAAATACAAGGGGTGAGCGGGCTTTCGAGATGCCAGGCATTTTCTTAGGCTTTAACCCACAAAATAACCAAAAAATCAGATATCCCTCCTTAAGCTTTCCCCTTTCTCAAGGGCCTCTTTGTTAGCAGCTTAATGGGATTCACAGCTTATTCGATCAGCTATATAGGATTGTCTGCTAGTGGCTTATTCAGTAAATTTCTAGGGAGGAGCTTTATGCAGAAAGCCAAGTTTTTTTCACACATGTCCCTCCCAATTAAAAAACATGCTCATTCCATCTATGATAAAACCCTCCCAAATAAAAAACTTTTCCAATCTATACAGACAGCGTAATGTACACATACATCTTTATCCAACTTGATGGAAAACCAACCAAACAGCCCCTTATACTCCCTTCACATAAGCTAAACAGAATATCCCGCCCAAACTAACCCTTCCCCCCTTACTACCTCTGGAACCTTCTAGAATGACCCTATGCTACTCACACCTCGTTTGTACAGCTAATATAAGGGGTATAATGGTATACTTGCACAAACTGTCGAGGGTTCAAGTCTAACAACCGCAGTGTGTGAATCACAATTCCTTCGAGGATTGGACTCTTTGTGGGCATTGGGCTCTTAAGCCAGCCAGCCAGCCACCTGCCATACTTTTGGGGACGGGCTGTATGAGCCAGCTAGGGGGTTGCCAGTTATAGAAATAGAACCCCTTTGCACAAGCCTGCTATTCTGCAATAAATATTTTATCTTTTTTTAGTGTATGCAAATACTCAAGCATCTCCAACAAATTATCCGATATTTCTCTAAAATGGAGAATCAAAATTCAAAATCTCCAAAAGAATAACAATCAATTACATTAGCTTCTCCATTATGGAGATTACAACATTAATTATATTATTAAAATATTCCATTATATTTAATAAAATATTATTTCTCTCCTCTGAAAATTTAATTTCGAGGTTCTTTTTTTTGAAGTATATAATATTTATATACGGCAAATAGAACAAATAAACTCACACACTCTCCTTCCCTTTGGTGAGGTTTGAACTCTTGACCCCCTAAAAGACCAAAGACTCACATACCGCTAGGCCAAAGGCCCTTTGGTTTCAAGGTTCTTATGGGTGGGAATATAAATAAAAAATTATTTCTCATTGTAATAATTTTTGGGGAGTTCTCCGAAATTGGAGAATTTCACACCGACACACAATTTCCTACTTTCTCCGTTTGAGTATCTGTTTAGTCCAAAATTCCTACCGTTTGTGAGATTTGAACCTTCGACTTCCAAGGAGGTTAAAATCCACCAGTAACCCGAATACATATAAGGACAATGACCCTCTTTTGGTATGAATATTTGATCTTGCAGGGCTATGTAACCCCGAAAAGAAGATGTTGGAACTTCATCGAATAGAAAGCTGTGCAAACAGCCCAACTTTGCCATCTGATGAGGACTAGTACTACCAGGTGCATTATAATTAGTCTTCTCAAGTATACCCTTTGCTTATTTACTACCACTTAGATCAAATTTTATGTGTTTGTATCTCATTCTTTCATTATACACCAACCCGATGCCACGAAAGTTTTGAAGTGACGCAGATTCGTATGTAAAAAAAACCAAAGTCGTAGAGGTCAGAAAATCTCTCTTTCTGGGAGCGTTACACGGCTGTTGTACTTCCACTGGATATCTTGTTAACATTAAGATGAGTAGCGTCTATTGTATTCACACGATGCTTCTTCGTTTTTAACATCCAGGTTACTCTTTTTATTGTGCTAACATCGTATGGGCTTATTGTACGGAAAAAAAAAACTTCAGAATGTAACAAAGTTTGGTTTAGTTCCTCTTAGGGGCCGTTTACCATTCTTACCGGCAAGCGTTTACCAGATGTAACTTACCTGACCGGCTAAGTGAGAGAGAAGTCTCTTATCCGGTAAGCGCTTACCAAGTATAAGACTTTGTCCAATCCATTTGGAAGGATGGGAATGTTAACCGATAAGGTAAGCGTAAGTGAGGGAGAAGCCTCTTACCCGCTAAGCGCGTACAAGATGTAACTTACCTTCCGGCTAAGTGAGAGAGAAGCCTCTTACCTGGTAAGCGCTTACCAAGTATAAGACTCTTGCCAAAAATCCATTTGGAAGGACGAGAATGTTACCTCATAAGGTAAGTGTAAGTGAGGAAGAAGCCTCTTACCCGGTAAGCGATTACCGAGTAAAAGACTCTTACCAACAACCAATCTTGAAGGACGAGAATTTACCCGATAAGGCAAGTGTAAGTGAGGGAGAAGCCTCTTACCCGGTAAGCGCTTACCGAGTAAGACTTTTACCAACAATCCATTTTGAAGGATGAGGATGTTACCCGCTAAAGTAAGCGGGGTTGGTGACTTTTGGCAGTAAGCGCTTGGTAAATGACCCCGAAGAATTATTTTTCCTCAATTGATGTAATAAAGCTTCAAATATTCTTACCCAATTTGACCAGTAACCTGTTGATATTGTAATAGTTGACGATGTTAAAAGTGGGTTACAGAAAAATGGACAATAAAATGTAACAAGATGAACATGCTACCGGTCAAAATTGGTAAAAGAAATAGGAAAATTTGAAAAGAAAGGCCATCCTCGTCTCTGTTACATAAAGTAAGGGTCTGTTTGTTAGTAACTTAATGAGCTTAATGGGACATAACTTATTCAATCAATTACACATGACTAGCTTAATAATATAGAAAATGACTTATTTCAGTAAGCTTTTAGGGGAGCATTCTTTCCATTATGAAACAACCTTCTCAATCTATATAGACAGATTAATCCACACGTGCAACTTTATCCATACAGAACTTGATGGAAAACCAATCAATAGCCCTAGATCATGAAAATGGAAGAAAGTACTAAAACAAATCCCACCATGAACATGTACACAAAAAGCTGGGGAAAAGCAATCGTAAATCTTTCGCAATTATATAGAAGAGCTTGTTAACGGTCAGCAGGATCTTTGGGCACCAATTTTTTTAGCTTTCTTTCACAGCTACGGCCTCAGGAGGAGTACTGCTCGCAGATACATTCTCAGTCGTTGACTCGCTACTTTGTTTTCTCAAGTTAGCATCGGCCATTGAAGATCTGGTATCACGGGTATTGGTTTCTGATAAGTTTTCATCAGAGTTTTTTGGTTTATTCGAGCCGTGGCGGTGTGACGTTGAAGATCTTGTATCCGGGGTGTTGGTACCTGAAGAATTTTCGTCGGATTTCCTTGGTCTATTCAGGGAATGGCAGTGTGGACAATAGTAACTGATGAAAGGGTAGTCCTCCTTCCTTGCAAGACCTGCAAATAACACATTTTATTTGAGTTATTTTTTATAGGTTTCATTTATATCACCTCTTATTGTGCTTACCAGGATAAGTGGGCTGATTAAAAAACACTTATGGGGTGTCACGTACCTTACCGGGTAAGCATGATAAGGACCGAGAATCTTACCAAGTAATCCATTTTGATGGTTGAGAATGTTATCCGATAAGGCATATAAGGGCGGTGACTATTGTCGATAACCACTTACCTGATAGGCATTTGGTAAACAGCCCCTAAGAAGGGACCAACCCACTCTGACCCGTAAATATGCTAGATTGAGATACTGACGGTAAGGATGGGGTTGCTTTTTGACTCGGTTAGTGGTTCGACCAAACACTTGGTGAACAACTAGTTTTAGTCGGTGCTTGTTCATTCACTTGGTAAACAATTATTTCAATCAATGCATCCCCAAACTGAACCTCTTACGGAGACCGCACTCTTAATTGGTTAGTGCTTATTTAGACACTTACCTCTTACCCATACCACTCTTAGGGGCTGTTTGGCAGTTGTTGAATGGTGGTGCAGAATGATTAAGAGGTTCTCATGATATAGTGCAAAATGAAATATAATTGTTTGATAATTGTCTACAATAAAATTAGGACGCTTAATGGTTAGACCCATTATGCAAAATTATTCAGAGGGTTTTAGAACATTAGAAGGTAAGACTTTTTTTTTTTTTTTGGCCAAACAAGATTCAGTTGTTAACGATTCAAAGGTTGGCTCTTAATGGAACTATTAAGAGGTAAACAAACAACCTCTTAGAGGCCATTTACTAAACATTTACCGGGTAAAGCGTTTACCGATATCACTTACCTTACCGATTGAACATGGAAAGGACCAAGAATCTTACCCGGTAAGTAAGGGAAATGATTCTATCTGGTAAGTGCTTACCGGGTTTAAGATGCTTACCAACAATTCATTTTAATGGTCGAGAATGTTACACAATAAGGTAAGTGAGAGTGATATCTCATGCTGGTAAGCGCTTACCGGATAAACGACCCTTTAGTAAAACTAGAAAAATTATTTATATATTATGGATCAAAATCTACTCACCATTGTGCGAATGGCAATTGCCGCAAATAAGTGCATACGATTGTGATGGATCGTCTCCCACGAGCAATGCAGCAAGTCGAGCAACCCAACCTCCATCGTGGGAATTTATAGCCATAGGATTGTGATGCTCAACAACCAGCTCACTCGGTAGAGAAATCTCAGAAACCTCACTTCCGGCATACGAAGCTGTTTCTTTATCCGAGTGGTCTACTAATTTACCGCCAGGGGATCTAGCTTCGGGTGGGTTCCGTCTCCGGAGACCAGTAGATTGTGCGAAGTCGACGTCGCTGCTCTTCCCTGCACCCTGTTGATTAGGTTGTGGCTCATCTCCTCCTACAGACACTTGCAGGCCTGAATCTGCACCCAATTTGGATGCAAGGACAGATGCAGCAGCTGCCTTTGCTGCTGGATCTGGGTCATATTTCTGAAACCAAAGGTTCTTAAAATAGCACAAATGCACAATATATTCATAGTAAAGGTACAAAAGACAAAAAATATGTATCTATCTTCGATAGCTATGTTAAAATGAAGAAAAGAATGATTGTAGCAAAATATTTTTGCTCCGTCAGCTTTGTCATTTTGTATATTAAACTTAGAGAAATCTCTAAGGGGGTGTTTGGAGATTGTTTATTTGAAATAACTTATATTTTTATACAAAAGTGTTTATCAACTTATTATAAGTTAGACTGGTTTAACTTCTTCAAAAACTCTTTATTACTGGTTTGGCACCGGTATAAGCTTTTTATCCAAACACTCAAAAGTGCTTATTACCGATGTCACACTGAAATAAGTCAATAAGTTGTTTTTATAAACAATCCCAAACAACCCCTAAATATAAAAAAATTATTATTTTAATACTTTCCTACTAATAAAAAATAAGTTATGTCTAACTTTAACAGCTACTCTATTTTAGCAATTATATAATTAATTATATTATTAAAAATATTAAATACATTTAATAAAATATTATTTCTCTTTCTTAAACATTTTTTCATGATTACTTATTATTAGTGAAAAAGTATTAGAATAATAATTTCTCTATTTAATTAGAGATTCCTCTAAGTTTAAATTTTTTTTACAATTTCCTCTTTTCTTTATTTTAAAATACAAAATAAGGTGGAGAATGTACCGGTAAAATCACTTTCTTTAGAGTTTTAGAGATTTCTTTAAATTTTAAAGATTTTTAGATTCTTTTTCTACTTTTGTTTTCTATTTTTCTATACAATACAACATTAATGTTGGAGCACAAAACTCTTCGAAATCATCAAAATTTCTATTATAGCATAATTGTTGAAGATACTCTAGTAATTTGAGAGAATGATATAATGATAAAAAAAAAGAGTTCTTTCATCTCAAAATCTGAATGATATTCATATTCATTATTTAACTTTTTTCGGATATATATGTTTTGAATTTGACCAATTGAAATATAGGCAAACAATGTTTTTGATTATTTATTCGCTCGAGTTTTTTTGTGTGCCTATTTCTGTATCTTTTCAAGATTCAAGGCCTAACCACTTTGTCTGTAAAATGTGAATGAAGTCGTGACGCAAAAGTTTTTCGCCTTCGCTTATCTTGTTTTTTGAGGTCAGTTCTTATATGATGCTAACAAAGGTCTCATCTTCACGGTTATTATTTTTGAGGCACTCGGAAATTATTAAAGCACAGACTTTTCATTCCCCAACATTATCATTTCATAACGAGTTTTTTGTCCCTATGGTATGTTGAAAGTTGATATTTTTGTCTTCGGTATTTTTGAAATTACAATTTTTAGCACTATGGTTTACATATTGTTGTTGTTTTCATCCCTATGGTTTACAATTTATTAAAAGGTAGGAGTCAGATTCATGGACAAGAACAATAAATTGCAAACACAGGAACTAATATACCTACAATTCTGAAATATAGGTGTTGGAGATCCTCTTAGAACAGGAGTGTAGCAAAAGAATACACGACTAGGGTTGTAAACGGTTCAAGCTTTTAACGAGCTACTCGAACTTATTAATTCTCGAGCTCGAGTTGATCTCGAACACAAAGTAGAACTCGTTTAACTTAATGAGTCGAGCTTCATGTGACACTCATATTCGACTCGGCTCGTCTGAATACTCAAGTAAAATTTCTCGAGCAGAGCCGAGCCATTCGAGCATACACTTTTTCGAGCCATACATGCTCATAGATTCATTAATCATTCAATAAAAAATATCAAACTCAAGCCGATAAACGAGTTAATCGATCATGAGTTTGAACCCATAAATGAGCATCGAGCTCAATAACTCAAAATATTCGAGCTTGAGCCCTATTTTGAAAAAGTTAATCGAGCTCGAGTCAAGGTCATGCCTGGCATTAGTTTTTCAAGCCCAACTCGATCGATTCTACTCGTTCACGACAATAATAAAGGTTAAAGTGAGTGGTACCTGAATGAGTTGTTGGGTGTTGTAATAATTAGTTCTCTCTTTAAGTTCATCAATCTTTTCCTGTCTTTCAGCCCGAAGCTTCTCTAAAGCTCTCTGATCCCTTCGATCGCCTATAAAGACACCATACGAGGGAAGTCATTAAATTGGTTGTTTTGCACTACGACTATGAGTCAACTTCAATAAGCTAAATTGATTTAGACCAACAAATGAAAAACAGGATATAGTTATGGGAATGAAACCAGTTTTGATCTAGATAGATTTAGCAGCTTCAAGTGGTTTTGGGAAGTATTCATCATAGGGTCAAAGAGTTTTGGAATTTGATAAAAAAATTTAGGAGTCGTTTACCAAACGCTTACCCTGGTAATTGTTTACTGGCAAAACTCAATACTATCACTTACTATGTAAGATTTTAGTAGTATCGTATGTAACAATTTACCCGGTAAATGCTAACCGTGATAAGAGTTGTCGCCCTCACTTACTGGGTAAGACTCTCGGTCATTGCCTTTGCTCTTACCGGGTAAGATCTTTGGTTTTTGTATATTCATCTGGTAAGATAACGTGACTTGGTAAGCGCTTACCTGGTTTCGCTTTTGGTAAACGGTCCCTTAACCCACTAGTTTCTTATCTCTAAATATAGTATGTAGGGAACGGATCAAACGAGAAAAAGATTTATTATAGTCAATCACATATGATATTGTAGTTCATTACATCTTAAAGCATCTCCAACAAATTCTGTAAAATTTCTTCAAAATAGAAAATGGAACTTTAAAATCTCTAAAGTAAATAAGAGATGTGGCTGACATTTGGTGCGATCTAGGTCGCATCACAGATCAATATCATATGTGATGAGAATATTCTCACGTTTTTGTAAAATAAAAGGGTGTTATCATCCGGTGCATGTAACCTTAAAAGGGAACTTACACATTCCTGTGAAGGTTATAAGTCCAGAGTAGAAAGCCCGTGATAGAACAGGCAAAAGAAACATAGGCAAAACTCGCAAGCCCCTCACTCTCCAATCCATGTTAGCTGTTCTTGTTGTCATTATGGCATATCCGATTGCAGCAACCTAAAACCAAACAACGGATTTGTGATGTTTTCATCAAATAGAAGGTATTACTTCTACTACTGCTACTACTTATCGTTTGGATTATGTTAGAAATTCTGCGTTATAGTATTGCAATGAATCAGATGAATCAAATTGTATTTTGGATCGTGTGAAATCACTTTCCAAATGTAATAATTGGACTCTATGAAAAGACTCAGGCTACACGATGTTTACTTTGGGATAATCCAAAAATGCACTAGACAAAAACACACATATCATTTGTTGTTTGTGTGAAAAAATGGAATAAAAAACTCATCTTAAAAGGTAGACGGTTATTGGGTGGTTATGAGAGGTTATAATGCAGTTAGAAGCATCACCATTAGTAAGTGTCACTCGCCGATCAGCATCACTGAAGGCACTCGCTCATCAGTGCTACTGAAACTCACTTATCGTCTATCAATGACACTGAACCCTCAAACGCTAAGCATATAAACCTGAAATCAATTGTGGCGCTGCCCTTAGACCCCGCAAGGGGTGCGGCCCCCTTGAACACCGTCATATAGCAACATCCGGTGATTCCAGGTTCAAGTTAGCTTACACAAGTGTGCATTTCGCACCTCCTAACCCATTTATAGCTTAACCAGAACCCCTACCATTCTCTTGTAGATCACAACTACACCAAATTCCGGATGACACTACAATGACAATCACCAACTGGTTACTAACCTAGTTATTTGAATCATAATTTGAAGTTATTTTGTTCACATGAAAAGTACACAGGTTTACATTCAAAAAGATTGGAAAGATAACACTTCCTATATTATGTTCTCCAGTTGCTGGTTGGAGGTTGTAATCATGAATCACAGCACCACATGCCAGAGTAGTTGGAACGAATTAGGTTCAACGGTGACAATACAAGAGGTTGTCTTCGATATTAAGAGACACCAAATCATAAGCAACTTGCTTTCTTGTCTAATTCAGAAAATATGATTGCAAAAGATTCAATTATCAACCACTTGGGTTGTGGAGCACAGATTAAGGCTATGGGAATGTAGTGGAAATCACATCTTTCCCGCATTCCATCAAGGCACTGGCAAAGCCCGTCCATAGAGGTTCACTTACGATGACTCTGACCATTTGTGGTCAATAAGTCGGGGTCATATGCTGCCCGGAAACCCCCGGTTACAAAAAAAGAAAGCTTCAGTTATCACAATGCAACCAGAAAGAACATGAAACCAATCAAATACCAACATAATTCATCGTAGACATGTAAGAGGAGATTAGGTTCGAGTTTTACAGACTGCATATGCATACAGGAAGCAGCAGTGATGCTACTCCGCTTTCAGGAGCACATGAAGGTGCAATATCTAAATAAGCTTTAATCATCTAGGTCTACCTGCAAGTGATTCATCGTTCAAATACCAAAAAGCTTAATTAATTCTGCAATGGAGATAACTCTTTGCGAGTGCTGATCAAGCAGAATATAAGATATTATCGAAGATTCGAGATACAATGGAAGATTACCTCGAAAATTACGGAAAATACGATTAAATCCCTTGCCATTCTCCTCCGTCTCGAGGCTCTTTTCTTAATGCGAGCAAGAAGAGAAGCCTCTGCTTTAGATATATATTGCAATCTTTGCTCAATATCATCACCGTGTAACCAAATCCAATTCCAAATTCGAGAAAAAATACTCTTCTTCTCCTTTTTCGGCGTATAACCGTTCTTCTTTTCAACTAGTTCCTTTACATCGTTCTCCTCCGCCATTTATCCTACACTGATTAATCATCTATTTCACGTACGCCAGAACCGATCATCATCACAGAAGAAACAGCTCGTTTGTTCAAATTCGAAAACCCTAGGTGAAATCGAGAGCGCGTACCTGATGTCATGCGTGTCGAGGAATTTTGATTGTTCCAGAAACAATGACGAAGTGGATCGACGAATTTAGTTGGAAGCGAAGAAACCTAAGAAGCATGGAAGAGTGAGTATCCATGGAGATTGAATCGACTCCATGATCGATGGGGCGAAGGAATCCGTTACAGAAGTTGGAGAAGGAAACATGGATCACAGGCTTACCTGGAAAGGAATTTTGGCCATTCATAAATCCATGTATAACCAGTGTTTGTAAAACTGTTTCTTTTGTTAAAAAATAAATTGCATGAAAAAAAGCTTTTAATATCTAAATTTTACTTGTATAGTAATTAAACTCGCCCAAATCTAGTTAAATATATCTCGATTTTAATATTTTATTTTATTTTTTTGTCTCTATCAATATTATAATACGAATTTATCTGGTTTTGAGCAAACAATAATGTTATTCTTAATAAAATATAAATTTGAAGATAGATAGTGATCTGGGCTGTTTCCCTCTCGACGATTGAACGACCTTGACCCTAGTTATTTTGCGGTTAACCTGAGTGAAGATTCAAATACTTGTCCTACATTCATATCATAAAAATAGATATAATTTCTCATTTTTTTTGTGTAATTTCTTTAATTCAATTTTTTTTAGAATTTAATTTAGGTTTAATGACGAAGTAATTTATTTTTGATTTAATAATATAATTTTTATAAATATAATAACTAAGTATTTTATTATAACTCAATAATTATTCTAATTATATTTTAGATTTTATATTTAAAATAAGAATTTTATCATGTATTTGAATATAATTTACCTACAGTTAGTTACACGAATTCAAACATAAAGCTTAATAGGTTGTACTTACGCACAATTTAATTGTAATCTTGAACTTTAAGTAATATGCATCAAAGCAATACTTCATGTATAAAAGATGATTTTTAATAGTTTTGTCAAATGTTTTATAATATAGTATAAGTAATAGGCATCAACAAGCATTATTTCACATATAAAAGATGGTTTTTATGAGTTTTTGTCAAATATTTTATAATATAGTATAGATTTTAAGTTCTTATAAGTAAATAATGTTGATTCTTAGAAAATTATAACAACTGTAGTATTTTGCAGTGCGGTTCATACGGTTTGTATCTATCGTACTTTATGTTTATAATCTAATAATTATAAGTTCAAAAATACATTATAAATTGACAATAAAGTGACTACTTTCCAAAAAAAATAAAGAGTTTCAATACATTCAATTCCTAAATACATATTGCATAATTAGAAATAGTTTAAGAGGCCGTTTACTAAACGCTTACCTGGTAAGTACTTACCGGGTAATTTTTCTCAACGGATGAACATGGCAAGGGTCAAGAATCTTACCCGGTAAAAGCGATGATAAGGATGGAGAGTCGTCACCCTCACTTATGGAGAGTCTTACCCGGTAAGTGAGGGTGACGACTCTTACCCGGGTAAGCGCTTACCAGGTAAATTGTTGTATAGGATATGTTTTGATGTACTACAATCTTACCCAATAAAATAAATTATAGTGTTGATTCTTATAATTAATCACTTATCGGGTAAGCATTTAGGTAAACGGCCCATAAAAAGTAAAAATAAAAATAAACCTCAAACTAAATTGGAGGTTTGAGTTGTGACTTGACCAACTAATTTGTTAATACGGTCAATTGTCATATTAGATCAAACTCAAAATCCAAAACACAGTGTCCAAAAATATTACATAAAATAATAAATTATTATTATTATTATTATATATATATATATATGTGTGTGTGTGTGTTATATACAAAATAAAAAAAAATGTACAAAATGTACGGTGCGGTGCAGTTTGATAACTCAAAACCGAAAATCGGACTGCATAGTGCGAGGTTTGGTAAAAATGCAAACCGCATATCTAGACAAGATTTGTAACATTTTAAACATTTTGGTCCATGTGGTTTGTTTAAAATAACAGTTTTCGTCTATGCAGTTTTGAAATTATAAGATGGTCATCGTGATTTGTAAAAACATCTAGATTTGGTCTCTTTCTCTAACAGTCGTCAAAAAATTCCGTCAAGTGAACAATATTTTTGTTCTTTTAACTATTTTTTGTCTTTTACCCAATGAAAAACCACAGGGACCAAAATCGTATAATTAATTTTGTCTTTAACCATTCAGTACCTTAATTTCGTTGTAAACAATTACCAAACAATTATATTACATTTTACACTGTATTATCAGAGCCTCTTAATTTATGACCATTTTAATTATTCTACATCAAACCATTCAATAACTGTCAAACAATCTCTTAATCTACTTTCTGCATCAAATAATTTTTTTCTATTAAATTGATTTTTTTTTGCATTAGTAAAAAACAATTTTTATCGTGGTAATTTGGATTTTTTTTAGAAATGTTCAATTTGATATCTGAATTAAAAAAAATTAGATTTGAAATGAAAAATAGATTTTATTGCATTAATTTTTGGAAAAAAAAAAGAATTTTAGTTATTTTTCTATAATTATTTTGCAAGTTGGTTCCCAAAATAGGAATGAAGTGCAAGTTAGTTTCCCAAAATGACGATTTTGAAAGTTAATTCCCCAAAATAAGAATTAGGTGAAAGTTGGTTCTATTTTGATACAATTTTCCCAATCATTCAACAACTATCAAACAATCTCTTAATATACTTTCGGTAAGAATATGGAAGATAGACCATGGTTAGAGATGGAGTCGTTTTGTAGGTATATGTAGATGATGTAAGCATGATGCATGGATGCATGGATGTATGGATGTATGCATGATGCATGAAGACGATAGGAGGCTGACATTGAAGCAGAAACCCTGTCGTCAGGTTATCCAAACTCAAAATCAGACGTATACATCTTCTCTTCCATCATCCATGGATAATGTTTATCTGACATACGAGGTGTATACGGTTTGGGTCGGACCTCCACATGTAATGGAATCATTAAGAGGTAAACTTTTTTTTGCGAAACAAAATTCACCTCTTAACGATTCAGAAATTACATCTTAATAAAACTATTAAGAGGTAAACAAACAACCCTTAAGTTTTGAATTTTTCTGAAAGAAGCTTCAAGGTATTATATATTGACCTTACATGAATGATGAACATTTATTTATTGGATCTTTAAAAAAAAAATGGATAAATGAATCTTAGGGGCTGTTTGGCAACTGCTGAATGGTTTGGTGCAGAATGATTAAGTGGTCAGAATGATTAAGAGGCTCTCATGCTATAGTGCAAAATGAAATATAATTATTTGGTAATTGTGTACAATGAAATTAGGGCTCTTAATGGTTAAGGGAGATCCATGATACAAAATCATTCAGAAGGTTTTAGAACCATTAAGAGGCAGACCTTTTTTTGTCAAACAAGATTCAGCTCTTCACGATTCAAAGACTGCCTCTTTATGGAACTACTAAAAGGTAAACAAACAACCCCTTACTTAAAAATAATGACTGATAATAACGTTTCAAAAACAGAAAACTGTGGTTGATGGTTTTGGGTTGCTGACAATGATTAGAAGGGACGTTGGATGCATTTGGTGAGGTAATGGTTACTGTTTTTTGTCGTTTTTCAGTTTGGTTGTTAAACTTTTATCAAGTTTGTTTATTAACCAAACATTTATTCCTCAAGCTGTCGACTGTGTCAGTCGGATGACAAAAAGAGAGTGTTTCCTGCACTGAAAAAAGGCAGTTAACCATCTTTCTCGATATCCTCTCCCGATAGACTCGATGCTCTTCATTTTGATGCTCAGTGGGAATAAAGATGTTCGAGATCAATCTCCGGGAGAGGAGAAAAGAAGAAGGGATAAGATATTCGGTCATGCAATACTTATTGAATTCAATCCTTCAATCCAACCTTCGGACATAAGTCAGTTTCTTATTCGAACGAGTTGAAGCTAAGGGGTTGTTTGACAATTGCTGAATGGTTTGGTGCAGAATGATTAAGTGGTCAGAATGATTAGGAGGCTATCATTATATAGTGCAAAATGAAATATAATTGTTTGGTAATTGTGTACAATGAAATCAGGGCTCTTTTAAGGGAGATCCATGATACAAAATCATTCAGAAGGTTTTAGAACCATTAAGAGACAGACTTTTTTTTTTGTCAAACAAGATTCACCTCTTAACGATTCAAAGGTTATCTCTTAATGGAACTATTAAGAGGTAAACAAACAACCATAAGCCCCAACGGAAAAGTATATTGAGGGTGGAAAGAAATGAATTCAGAAAAAACAAAGTGATCCAAGTTCTTTTTCTCAGAGATTTTTCCTGTTAAAGAAAAGCTGGAAATCAAGGGAAACTCCATTTTGTGCTCGATCTCGCCACTCTTCAAATAACTACGCTGATTGGTCTTTCTTTTATTCCCTTGGCTATGAATCACCAAGAAAAAGGCTAAAGTACTCATGCTACCGCACAATACACTGTTCCCACACTAGTCACATATAGTTACAGAACATGGTACATGGTCAATGCAACGGTGAGCAAGTGACTCGGCCCGACCAAAGTCGTGTGAATTACATATGCTTTTACACAATTTTAGTATATAATTAAATGTGATTTATCTGTTCTCGTGTTCACTTATTTGATCACTGTTCACGCAAAATTAGCATTTTCTTCAAACAATTATCATTAAGAATGCTTGAAAGGGAAGCTTAATGATGATACTATTTTGCTGACTCATCTTATATTTTACTTTATAAACACATTATATATTTTTTAAAAGAAATATTATATCCATACTTTTGTGTTGTAAATGAATTGTTTCATTTATAAAAAAACACTAAAATGTTATCATAATGTATTTTCTTAAATATTTTTTAAAGAATTATGAACTGTTTATCAAACGGTTTACTGGAAAAGAACTTATGGTAAGATTCGTCATCCTTATTTACGTTACAGGTAACATTCACGACCAACAAAATTAGATTGTTGGTAAGCGTTTATTACCTGTTAAACATTTACTGGATAAGAGTCGTCATTCTGACTTATCAGGTAAGACTATCGATCATCATCTTGTCTCTTACTGGGTAAGATTTTCGATCTTTGTTATGCTCATACGCTGAGGTCCTGTTTGGTTTGAAGAAATGGAATGGATTTGGGCTAATTTGCATTTCAAATTCATTCTAATCATATGTTTGATTTGTTGGATTGTCCGGATTTGAAATCCTAGA